CGATCTGTTGTTGTTCGGTGTTTTTCATATGTTTATCAAATACTATTATAATTATCAGGTTTGTACAATCTTCATGTTTTAACTGAGGTTAAAATGAAAGATATGTGACTATTCCAAATTGTGCCCAACAAATACCCTGGGCTTACTCAAAGTAATGGCTGATCAAGTTATTAAAGTTGTGACATCTGGGAACTGAGGTAGCTTTGCTAATAATAAATAGACTTGCTGGCTCCAAATGTTTGAATGAAAGGAAAAAAAGATGGAGGAAAGGAACAGCAGTTGATGTGGTCAGCAGAGAGAAGTTACATATTTTTATAAACTGCCAAAGCCAAAGCTAGTCTCTTGTCAATGAAACATTCCACAGTCATCCTTTGGAATCCTCGATATTTATCTTGTTGTCATCAGAGCAGAAGAAAAATCATTGAAAAGGGCTTATTTTCTGGCAGTGGATTTGGCAAACTCTGAAAAACTGAGGGAAGTATCTAGATATAGTTACTACTTGGCGAAACAAGACAATCCATTAGTCACTGGTAGTAACAAAACAAAGAATGCTGGAGAAGCTCAGCAGGTCTGGCAGCATTTATGTTTCTCTCTTCAGAGTTAACATTTCAAGTTCGATATGACTTCCTAGGAACTGTTAGTTTACTATTTGCTGTAAGGACTGTAATTCTGTGGCAAGTCCAAACATTCCTTTCTGTAAATGTACAAGTTACCTGCAAAATTGCTGTTTCATTAATAATATTTTTAGTCATTTGTTTACAGTAAAACTCCTAAAACATGAAAGGTTATCATGTCACCCTTTTCGATATTATGACTCGACCCCACCCTTCCAGTTGCTTGCCCTTTCAAATATGGCATCTTGTTCTCATGTTTCCGTTTCTGTCCTAGGCCTGGTCTCCTCCTTTCCCCTATGCCTTGTTTTCTTTTTATTCATACTCCAGTGTGTGTATTTGTTGCAGAATTCAGGATGGGCTTTACCTTTTAATAACCGTTGCACTTGAGTTTTAAATAAAACTACTAGTTTTTGTTAACATGGGAAATCTGTCTTGCTCACTACGTCATACAGCTTTACATGGTTAAATACAATGGATTGAGAAATCATTTAAAAGAAACACAAGCTGTGTTATAACCAACTTTAGCAGTAACATTTATTTACCCCTCCAGACTTGATTATAGCACAAGAGATTATCCATAATTAGCCTAATTGCCTCAGTTGGTCTCATTTCCAAAGGGTTGGAAAATTCAGTTCAGTGTTCTGCATAGACAAATTGGCAGCTAATTTCCACACAATAAAGTTCTGAAACAATAAATTAGACTTTTTTGTTGATGGTTAATAAGGGAAGATTATTCAGCAGGGTACGAGGACTGTTCCACTGATTTTAATCAAATATTGCAATGGGATCCTTTATGCCTATTTGAATAATGACTTAACTTTTCACCTGAATGCCATCACCTATCACAATTGCAGTGTCAGCCCAGATTATGTGCTTAACTGCTTAGAATGGGACATGGAACCCACAGCCTTCTGACTGCAGATAAGAGTGTAGCCACCTGGGACAATATAACACTTCATGAAGTATGCATTAAAAAAAAAGCTCACATTTATCTGAGAACTTCATAAGCGCAGTGATGAATGGGAAGAAACCGCGCTGAATTGTGACAGCTAAAAGAATGCAAAACCAGAAAAAGAAATAATCTGTCAATATCCTTAACTACAATACAATCAACTTTGTTTTTTCAGTATATTCCTGATGCCTGTAAGGAAAAACATTAATTGCCTTTGAAGACTGACACAATCAACAGCAATTTGCCAGCTGGATGAGTTGGATGTTGCTGATAGGGGGAACAGTTGCACAATTTAAAGATGATTCTTGTGAAAATATTAGCATATTTAAGGGTTATAATTTGTAAATGTCAATTTATTTCACTATCAACTGAGTTGATATTGTTCGGTAAATGTTTGACAAAAATCACTGCACTCACCCTTTTCAGACATTACAGTGTAGTAATGAAAGTGTTTTAGCAATATTATATCACTGTCCTTTGTTCCTGACTCAGTTTACGTACTGTGTATTTATTATACCTGTTTGTTGTATGTAAATGAACATAAATATTTTCTAAAAAAACAAAAAAAAATTTACATATGGGTTTAATCAGAACACACTTCATTGTCAAATAATTCTGCTGTTTGTACCTCACCATTTGCCATAAAATTTGAGATATTTAATGCATCGAAAAAAATCACTTTTACAAGAATTTAGTAAACAATTGCAGTTTGGACTCTAGTTTTAGTTAACTTCCTAACTTTTTAACATGCAGTTGAAGCTGGAATCCTGCCACAATTCAGATTTGAACATCTGAAAACCTTACATTTCAGAAAAAAAAACTTTCCTGTGGACTTATTTAAAGTGATGAGTCTGTATACAGATAGCAGAAAAGCATTGCGATGGTACAATACCAAACTGCTGTTTACAAGCCATGATGGCAGACTTTGTTCCTGGATCCTATTCTTCAAGCCAATACTAATTTGACTTATGGACCGAGTTCTATTCTTCAGCTTTCATCAGAATTGTGCTATTAAGATCTCAAGATGTGAGCAAAATTTTCCAACCAAGTATATTTGGTGTTGCCACTTAGAATAAATCTTCAGTCTTTATAACTTGACATTTGTTGAATTCTCTCAAATTGTCTGCAAGCTTCTGCCAAGCTTGCCTTGTAAAGACTTTGTACTGTTAAATTCACTTTATTAGACAAAGCAACTGAAAGACAGTGTTATGCAAAAAAACATACAAAGTGTTAGCAATCTGATCAGATTTATTGTCTGACGTAGTATTATTTGTTATATTGTTACACTTTAATTGTAAAAAACGGTTGAGATATATTGTGATCGCATTAATATTCTAGGTGCAAGCTACAGCTACTTTGACTTCAGCTTTATTGTCCTTTAGTTATTTCTCTTTGCTGTTCTGTATGATCAAACACTTTGTTTAGTTCCAGATTTGTTTACTGCCTGATTTCAGTCAAAGCTAATGGTGATATAGTTATTTTGCACTGTCAATAAAGAGTACTACTGTCATATGCTGTTTCGAAAGTCACTTCAACGAACCAATATGAAGTGGATTGTTCAACTGCTCTTTATACAAAGGAATTCAATAAGCTATTTGCACTATTTCTTAAGGGTTTCTAACGGAGTTACAGCAAGACTCTCAGAATATTTTCCCACTTTTGAGCAACCAATTCCTTCCAAGTTAAGATCACTATAGTCTGTTATAACTGTGTATCTTAAAAGCAAATTGAACACTTACTGCATCGTGTTGAACAATTAGAATTCTATTTTCCATATGAATGTTCTGTTTATGCTGTCTATATAAGAGAACTGGCAATTTCAGATTGGTTTATTGCTGAGCAGTTTTATTTTATATAAAGTTCACCAGGAAATGGGCAGAAAGTATTTAATCTTGTATTGTCAACTCTTCTTTAAAAATAGTCTGAGATCCCCTTAGTAAACATTTAAATACTCAACAGCAGTCTCTCACTCAAGGTTCAATGAGGAGAGATCATGGAAAACATGGCTAGGGTTGCACTTACCTCGAATTTATTTTGCATTTGTGCACACATTAATGGGCCTGCATGTTTATTCTCCAGAAAAGGAGCCTGAAAATGCACTGAAGCATATTTCCAACCCTTCTTGGCCTCAGACCTGACAAGTAGTCAATTTTCAGACAAACAGAGTTGGTTGCAAGAAAGATTTTTGGGACACCTTCTGGTTAAGCCTTGCATAAAACAGTAGTATTTCACATTAAAAGGTAGAGTTGCCATAGTCTTAGCAGATCAGAGGGCTTCTCTCGTTAGAGAGAGATGACTGATAATTGGTTAACCAGAGGGTCACCACACCTCAGGCAAGAGGACAGGTTGAGAAGGACAGTCCTTCATTGTCACCTCAGTCGGTCTACATTGGTTATCTTGGTTGGACAGCTGATTTGCAATCTATAGTCGTTCAGCTTAGCAACTCAAGAAAATATTTACAGTTTAATTTTAAAATATCCTTTCTAGCTATTTAGGCCATGAAATTAGACTTCGCCCAAAAACAACTCTGTAGGTCATGTTGAAGGATTGCCATGCAGTTATTTCCTTTAATGCAGGTAGCCCACAAACTTTGTAGCCTGCAGCTTATACTAGATGTGCTGTTGAATTGTTCCCTGCGTGAATTTTAAAAGAGGTAACACAAGTAAAATTATTGTGCACTACCTGAAGCCAGATTCCACCCTTTAATGAAAAAATGCATTTGCAGTTGAAGAAGCCATTAGAAATCATTCTAAAAGGTAATTTTAACTGGGTAAACATTCAAAAGTGACATCACAGGACAGAACTTTTCAATTTATATTAGTCTTTTCACTTAATATTTCCTAAACAACTTGGTCAGAGATGGCCAAGAGATGGTCTGGAGCAGTTGAGACTTGAACCCAAGCTTCTTGCACAGAGGTAGGGATACAACCACTGTGCCGCAAGCATCTTTGTCCACAGATCTAGATATCTTCTGAATCAACCTGTTCAGAGATGTTATTACACACGTCGAGAAGGGGAACTTGAAGTTGGTCCACCTGGTTCAGAGGTAGGGACACTACAACTGTGCTGCAAGATGTTTTGTTCACTGATCATGTAGACTTACTTAATTGTTTAAACCTGTGAGTGAAGGTAAGAGTTAACCTGACACCACTGAAGTTTCCAGCAAAACAGACTTGGATTCTGAGCTATTGAGAAAAATCCTATGATGGCTCAGATATTGTAAACAACTAGAAATAAACCTATTCCAGAGTTAGAACTAGTGTCATCTCTGCATCACTCTGGAGATATGCAACAAAACCATGAATACAAAATAAGGCCTTAACACAGGAAGACAGAAAAATAGATGTGATTTACTCATAGGGAACCATGAATCTCTGCAGACAAATTTTGTGATTTGGTATTCAATCTAAAGAATCTAGCCCCAGGAATACGAACAAAATCTTAAAGAAGTTCACAACCCCTCGAAAGTGGTCAGGTAAATGCAACTTCACATGCCATATCTTTCTCATTATATCACTAACCTCAGACACTGCTCAATTCACCACATCCCACAACTCACCTACTTACAATCTCCAGAAGTCATGACTCTTCCTGTTAACACAAGATTCGCTGCACCCTCAAATTTAAACACACTGCAGCAAGCCACATATATGTATCTCAGATTGTATGTACTACCTGCTATTCATCTATGCCTGTCACCATAAGAAAGAGAAACCAAAGTAGGCCATATGGCCCCTCAAGTCTGCTCCACCATTCAGTATGATCATGACTGATCTGGCTAGCCGAACAGATGGCATTACACATAGAAACACACTTTCCACAGTTGCACTTAATGGGCAGGTGAGACGTGGCTGCAAGTCTTAACCCCAAACAACGACATGGTTGTTGACATAGATACAGCAGTCATGTGTGAAGTAGTGGCTTGCTCTGGCACTGTAACCAAAGTTAACAGTAGGCTCACACTTTATCCTCCTCATATCATCTCACTTCTTTCTTTTACCTCAAAGCTCTTATAATGTGCAAGCCACAGATAGCCTTAGGATTGATCTCCAACTTTCCCCAAGCATTTTACAACAATCGTTTTACAGGCAGCAATAATAGGTGACTGCCCGAGCTACATTGGTCAAAGGAAAAGTAAAGTGGCATTTGGAGGCATGTTCTGTTCATCTTGCCATGCTCTGGTCCCTTAGGACTCTTAAACTCCTGCTCCTCTATTACCTTCTCCAACTACTGATCTTCCTGTCTGCTTGCTCTCTCTTGCCTCCTGCTTGCTCCAAGTTTTGACACATCCTGTGCTAGACTCGCTAAACATTCCTTGCCTCTTTATATTCCTGTTTTCTCTCTCCTCTTGTTCAGTTGTGCCCCTGTTATCTCCATCTTCCCACTCCTTACTAGTGTTTGCTCAATCCGGGATCCCATTTTCTCCAGGTTTTATTCTCCCATTCATCTGTGATGTCCTGGCTATCTGTATAATGCTACTTTTTCTGACCTCCTGTTCTCTTCAATCTGTTGCTTCTAATTTTCTACTCCTTCCAAGTTCATACTTTCTTAGGATTCTGTTCTCTCAAGGAGCTGTTGATGACTCAGTGCTGTGTTCTTCCCACAATTATGGTCTCCCACCACACCCTTGCTTCCAAAGTGGTAACTTCTGCGCTCTGATTTCCGAACACTTGTACAAGATGTTGAAGATGCTGTTTCAGTAAAAGTCTTTGTTATGGCTTCTGACTAAATGTGCTGATCTCTCTGCAATTCTGCCAAAGATAGACAAACTGCAGTGAGACGTAGACACCTATAAGTAAATAGCCATTTTCTTAAAAATGTTGTCCACTCTTTAGATGGAACACTTTTTAATTATGGTATTATAATTCAGGTGTGGTTTGTGAGGGGAGAGGGGATGCGCAGCATACATGAATACTAATCCCTTTCGAAAGGGATCCTTCAATCGAAAATGTGTCAGAATCATTACTTTAAGCTATTAAGGCAGAAACTGCACTCTACCCAAGCAATGGACAAAGAACACCAGCTCACCAGATGATAAAGTCACACAATAGTCCTGCTTGAGAGGATTCAAATGAGGACTTTGATGGACAGCTTTCAGAAGAAAACTGATGGTTATTTATAACATAATGTTTGATAAACTGACTCCAGGTTTTCTGAGCAGACCTGCAAATGTCAAGCAGCAGAAAGCAGTCTGGCACCACTGGCACAATGGCTTGTGGCTTGAAGTCCATTGGTTCCAGCATGCTAATGGGGTCCAACTCCGTAACACTTTTACTGACCCACCTAAGTTACAGTCAAAGGAGCTGTTGCAGAAGTA